CTGAGCCCTCTACGGTCTCTGAGAAACGTCTGATCCAGTGTGCAGGTTTATGGCTGCAGAGCATCCCATAGGTTGACCCTGGGCAAAGAAGGTGGTGGGCCTGAGAAGGCTACGGAGGGACAGCCACAAGTGGCCCTCCAGACAAATGACTCCATGCCATGGGGCCCTTTCCTTCAGCCTCCTTCAGGGAGGCCCTGAAGTGTCCAGGCTCAGGCCTTGGGGCAGGAGCCTGAACAAGTCTGGCCTGTCCTGCCTTTCAGGAGGGGAGGAGAAACCTTTGTGCTTGAACTACACAATTACCTCCAGAATTGCCATGTGAGAGGGCCCTACAGGGGGCCAGACCTCCCTGAGGAGGAGGCAGAAGGTGGGCCCTGAAGGGTGAGAAGAGCTAGCCCTGCATCCTGGGGGGGACTGGAGGTGGAGGAGCTGTGGGAAGTCCCCACAGACACAAGGAGGGGGTGGACCAGCAATGCAGGGAAGGTGGAGGAGGCTTCTGCAGGCAGCAGAGTCAGAGCCAGGGAAAGGATCTCACCAGCGGGGAGTGGTTTAGGGGGCTGTCTGTGTGAGGGAACAAGGGTTGGCCTGGGTGAGCCCTGGCTCTCTCCTCTCTTCCCATCTGCATGGGGACCAGCATCCTCCTGTGCTGCTGGCATCTGTCTCTTGAACCTCCTCATTTGTGTCCATCCGAAAAATGACAACAGAATAGGTGGGCAGCTCATGCCTGTGATTCTAGCATTCTGGAAGTCTGAACCGGGAGGATCTCTTAAGCTCAGGAGTTTGAGACCATCCTGAGCAAAAGTGAGACCTCCTCTACCCCACATGTCTCTATTAAAAACTAGCTGTAGCTGCATGTGGCAGATGCTGGTAGTCCCAGCTACTTGGGAGATTGAGGGGGGAGGGTTGCTTGAGCCCAGAAGTTTGAGGTTGCTGTGAGCTATGCTGATGCCATAGCACTCTAGCCTGGGGCAACTGAGTGAGATTCTCAGGAAAAAAAAAAAAAGAAGAAAAGAAAAATAAGAATCCAGTTAGGGTGGCAGAGCTGCCAACCTGAGGCCCCAAGGCCCTGGCCTGCCCGGCTGCTTTCACCAGCCCTAGCTACCCCCGGGGGAATGCACCCTGTGCTCCCCAAGGAAAAATCAAGCTAGAGTCTGAGCAGCCCTGGCCTCCCTGGGGATTTTGTTTAGACCAACTTGGTGGAGGGGAGGCTTGGGGGTGGGCAAGGTGTAGTAGTGAAGCGTACCCTGCCCTCCCTGAGCACACCCCCGGGAGCCCAGAGCCAGCCTGTCTGTGTCCTGCCTGGGCCCTGACATTTCTTTCCTGCCCAGCTGGCTATGTGGCAGGGACAGAAGGTCCAGGCTCTGTCCCCAGGGAAACATCCCTTTATGAGGGTCTTGGGGGAGTGACAGCTTTCTGCTCTACCCCCATCACCTATGGCTCCCCCTCTTAGCCCTGTAGAGCTATGACCTTCCTGAGGGCAGGGAGGGCACCAAGAAAGGCTCAGAAGTGCTTGCTGAATGAATAACTGAGTTAAGACAGTCTGCAGCCCAGATTGGAGAAGCTCAGTGTCTATCATTCATTCCTGGGGAAATTCTTTGTTTTTTAGAGACGGAGTCTCACTTTGTCACCTTCAGTAGAGTGCTGTAGCATCACAGCTCACAGCAATCTCCAGCTCTTGGGCTTAGGTGATTCTCTTGCCTCAATCTACCAAGTAGCTGGGACCACTGGCACCCACCATAACACCCAGCTATTTTTTTGTTGCAATTTGGCCAGGGCCGGATTTGAACACGTCACCCCCGCTATGTGGGGCTGGCACCCTACCCACTGAGCCATAGGTGCCACCTGGGAAGTTCTTTTGCTGTTCAAGTGCCTGGGTATGACTGGCATGGTAACAATTGTAGATTGGGGGCCTGGCCTACATACTGTCCCTGAATGTGTTTTCTTCTATGCTTTCCCACTCCCAGGCCTCTGCTCACATGTTCTTTCTGGCTGGAGCACCCACTTCACCCCAGCACCTCTGCGTCCTGCCTCCTTCCCAAACATGCCAGCTCCTTTCCAGCCAGAGCCCTCACACCTGCCATGCTCCCAGGGTTTCTGCCAATCTTCTGCCTATTGGAGGCTATTCTGCTAACCCGCCTTCCCAGAGTTCCTCAAGAGCAGTCCACATCTCAGCCATCTTTGTGGTTGCACTGCCTGGAATGGGACTTGACACGCAGTCAGTGCTCAATCTTTGTCCATTGGGGACACTTGAATGCAGCTTAGTATGTCACCAGACACTGCTTTACATTTTTTTTTTTTTTTTGAGACAGAGCCTCAAGCTGTCCCCCTGGGTAGAGTGCCGTGGCATTACAGCTCACAGCAACCTCCAACGCCTGGGCTCAAGCGAGTCTCCTGCCTCTGCCTCCCAAGTAGCTGGGACCACAGGCGCCCGCCACAACGCCCGGCTATTTTTTGGTTGCAGCTGTCATTGTTGTTTGGCGGGTCCAGGCTGGGGGATTCGAACTCGCCACCTTAGGTGTACGTGGCTGGCGCCTTAGCCGGTTGAGCTATAGGCGCCGAGCCACTGCTTTACATTTTATATGTGATTAACTCTTTTACTCCTCACAACCACTCAATGAGGTTCTATCATTTCCATTTTGCAGATAAGGACACTGAGGCAGAGGGAGGGTAAGTGATATATAGGAGAGCAAGAAATGGCCCCCTAGGGTAGCACCTGTGGCTCAGTGAGTAGGGCGCCGGCCCCATATACCAAGGGTGGTGGGCTCAAACCCAGCCCCGGCCAAACTGCAACAAATATTAGCTGGGCGTTGTGGCGGGCGCCTATAGTCCCACCTACTTGGGAGGCGGAGGCAAGAGAATCGCCTAAGCCCAAGAGCTGGAGGTTGCTGTGAGCTGTGGCGCCACAGCACTCTACTGAGGGTGACAAAGTGAGAGTCTGTCTCTAAAAAAAGAAATGGGATGGCCCCCTCCACCCTTCTAGGTTCTTTGCCAGGGTTAGGAATTAACTTGACATATAAACCAATTAACAGGAGAAAAACTATATTTAGTTAGACATATAGACATAGGAGCCCCACAAAATATGAGACTTCAAGAAGGGTGACATCCTGAGCTAAGAAGGGGGGTTTAGGGCTTGGGAGGGTAACACAAGTTATGGGAGGGTGACGGAAAGGAGGAAGTATGTGGTAAGTAAAGGTTGTCTTGTTAGGCAGATAAAAATTCTTTCAGGTAGTAAAAGCTGTCTGTCTGGAGCAGCCCTCAGCACAGGTGACAATCTGGTGTCAGTGAGTTGAGGTTCCCTGGTTGGTACCATTTAGGCAGATGAGGGAAGTTCAGAAAAGGCCCCTCCCTCCCTGTGCTATTTCCCAAATGCCCTGGGTTTGAAGTTACCACCATATCAAAGTGTCATATTTTGGGGTGGCATTTCCTGAAATCCTTTAGTGACATGCCCAAGGTCACCCAGCTAGTAAATGGCCAAGTCAGGATCCAGCCCAGGCAGTTGGGCTGCAAGGTCCACAATGAGGACACCCCAGAACCAGTCTTCTACACTGCTTCCTGGATGCCGCTGACTCCAGGATGTTGTCCTGCACAGCAGGGTGGACGCCTCTGTCATTGTTGGGAGAGACACCAAGTTGTCTGGGCAGCTCATCCCTAGCCCAAGCCCTCAGACTAAGTAACACTGCCTTTGGTGTGGCCTTTCCATCCTTCTGGACTCAGGTCTCCCACCCACTTTCTTGGCTTGTGTGGGTTTGATCCCCTGAGTATGGGAAATCTGGGTTCAGAAGTGTTTGTAGAACGATTATTTTGTTACACAGACCCCAAAGGTATGAACAGCTTCTTGAAGTCCCTTGGGTGTCACCTTTCCTCTCCCAAGCCTCAGTTTTCTACACTGGGAATGGGCCAACTTGCTCATGTCACATGGTTTGACATCTGGTAGGGATTCTGAGGTGCTCCTGATCCAATAGTGTCAATAGTCTGTTTACCCAAGCCTTGGCACAGCCAGGTGACTTTGTCTGGGTAACTTGGGGAGGGAAGGAGGTTATCATATCGCCAAGGTGTGTGTTCCTTGCCCCCTGGAGCAGACCTGGGATGAGATAAGTGGGCCAATCCCAGGAGCTTGGACAGACTGGTGGCTCATTTTGCCACCAGACAGTGGGGGTAGGGGGGAGGGTAGTGTTGGTGTACTTGTCAAAGCCTCTTTCTGGCCTCAGTTCGTCCGTCCCACCCCTTCTGGCTCTCTGCCACCAAGCTGTGCAGCGAGGGCAAAGGGATGAGGTGGGTGAATGGGGGGGGGGCACCCAGCAATGACTCTGCCAACTGCAGCTAACAAGTGGCAGCTCGCAGACAGGGCAGGCTGTGGTGACCCTGGGCGGGGGCAGCCAATGAGCTCCTGGGCTGCGGTGGCACCACCGGGCAGCCCGCCTGTCTTTGGCTGGCGCAGCAGCGGGAGGGGCCTCGGGCCACCAGTCAGGGCTGCCTGGCCCTGTCTCTGGGAGGCCCAGGCAGATCGGCTGCTCCATTCATTGGGAGCCTGACTCGATGGGCTGGCTGTCACATTTTCAACTTTTCCGACCTCCTGGGGAGGGCGGATTGTGGGGGCAGTATGAGGAGGATAGCTGGGAGGACTGAGGTGCCAGAGAGGGAACAAATTTGAAAGAACTTTTCCCAGGCTCTGGATCCAGAGTGGGCTGGAGCTCAGGCTGGGGAGAGGGGACTGGGAATGCTTTGCTCCAGAGCACACCAGGCAGGGAGCATCAGGTGGAGGGAGCAGGGACAGGGTAAGTAAAGGTGGTGGTTGTGGCCTAGGTACCCACCCACGACTGGTGTCAGGGCCAGGGTCCTGTGCACCCATATCCCCCAAGCTCCTTTGCCTAGATGGAGTTGGTCCTGGAACAGCACTTGTGACTATGGGGCTGTCCCAGGAACTCCTTGTGTAGTCAGTAGCAACAGGTGCTTGTGCCTCCCCCCCCCAGCCTCCATGCTCAATGCACACCCACCACAGCCAATCACATAATAAACATATATTTATAGATGTACAATTTCAGAATTCTAATTCAAGAAATACAGCTTCTCCAGGGATCCTTTAGGATCTATGTTCTTATTGCACATGGCTCAGCCCATTTAGGGACATCTACCCAGACCAGACAGTCGGGATGGTGGGGGCAGAGCACCAGGGCCACCGCAGGTGGGCACGCTAGCCCACGTCCAGTTCTTATCTTTGTGGCTGGAGTGGCCACTTTTGTTGCAGGATAGGACCTTGTTTAAAAACCAGACTTGACATTTCCTTACCAAACTTCCTTTCCCAGTGAAAATCCTATTTGTTGGGGGACTTTTAAAAAAAGAGCAAAGATAAATTCTGGGAGGATGGTTATCACCTCCTGGCTGGCAGCTTGGGGAAGAGTAAGGCTTTGGAAGACAGCAGGCTCAATGACACACCCACCGCCTCAGGAAAAATGTAATTCCAAAAGGCCCAGTATAAACTGTGGGAATAAATAAAACCTCCCTCCTTTCCCTGGCAGCAGCTGCTGTTTTGTGAAAAATCCTCATTTGAAGGTGAGAGTAAGAAAACTATTCTGGTTCAGATGTATCCTTTGTCCAAAGTGCGAGAGGAGGCCTGGTGGAGTCCCATCCATGGTGGGTGAAGACAGAGGCACCTACAGGCACTGGCTTTTCTTCAGGGGTTGGATCACTGTCCTGGGCACCCCTGGCTGACTCTTAGAGGAAGAATCTTTGGAAAAACCAGTGGCAATGATGGAGCTATGCCTTGTGGCACCTATAAGGCAAGACCCACTTAGAGACTTAGGGTAGGGAAGTAGTTAGGTAGAACATGGCCCCGCTCCAAGCCCTGCCATTCTGTGGGCAGGAGGCTAGAGGGCTCCTGGGTACCAGGACAAAGTGCCCACCTGAGCTGGTGGAAGGAAAGGGCAGCCTGAGGTTGCCCGAGCAGGTCCTGTTAGAGGCCTCTGCCTTGACTCAATACTGAACTGGCACCTGCTCCTAGGGGCACCTTTCTCCCTCTGCAGCCCGCTTCTTTCCAGCCTAGCCTTAAACCTGGCGACCTTCACGGATTTAGACCATCATGATTACTGCTGCCATCAAAAACAGGCTGGGGTTTCGGGGGGATGTTAAAAGCATATGACACAACTTTCCTTTTGCTGTTAGCTATAGCTAATATCTAGCTTTTGAAATACCAGGTTGCCTTCCCCCAATACGCCTCATTTTCTAAAATATGGAAGAAAGCTAAACAACTTAACCAATCCCTGCATAGTTTAAAAAGTAGACTATATATATATATCTTTATATATGCCTATTTACATATAAATAGATATATATACATATACACGCATGTATAAATTACATTCTGTGGAGAATTCTCTTTCCTCCTCCTCTCTGTCCTTGGCCAACGCCTCTGGCTTCTCCCGAGAGGTGACTGGTGGTGGCTCCTGGGAGGGGGAGGAAAGGCAGTTGGGCAACCCCCTCCCCCAGCCCTTCCCACAGACATTTGCTGCAAGTTTTACATTCTACTTTCGTTGCCATGGTTTCTGTATCCTAGGAGAGAGCCGATGTGGAGACTCTGCCAGCCCAGGGAGGGAGGAAGCAGCCCCGCGGCAGGTTTTCTGTCTGTCCTAAGAGCTTTCTGCATTTACTGGGTGAGAGAGAGGGCAGTTGTGCGGGCGTTCGGCCTCCAATTCCATTTTAATGTTTTTTTCTTTGTATGTCTTTCCTTAAATACACAGTCCATCACCTTGGCTCAGTGCTTGTCACCAAAGATTCTCCAGGGATTTCATAGTCTGGGGAGGAGAGTGGCAACAGTTAGCTCAGCAGTCACGCGGCACGGGGCCTCTAGCCCAGCCCACGCGACGCGCGCAGTTTTCCTTGCTGCCGGAGCTGCCGAGCTGCCGAGCTGCCGTGCTGGTGCTGGGCTGCTCGCTCACCCCGCCAGTCCCTCCTACTGTCTGCTGCACTGAGGCAAATGGCCTCACAGCAGAGTCTGCAGCTGGATCCAGGCTGAAAGGATGCAGGAACAGAGAACCTTTACTGGCTCTGCCCACACTCCTCTGGGCTAGGTCCAAGCTGCCCCCTCTGGCAAATGCTGGGAACACAGCCCGCTTCCCCCACATGCAGGGCCAGAGGAGGTGGGAGCCTGCTACCAGCAACTCTCATTTCCCCCCACCCCTTCTATGCTGAGTGGCTGCATGTGACCCTGAACTCATGACCTTCTGTTCCCTTCCTCAGACCACAGGCGAGATGCCTGGGCAGGGCAGGATGCCTGTGGCTTCCAGGCTGCCAGGTGCAGCAGGAGCATTTGAGAGTGTCTTAGAGAAAGTGTCTCAGATCTCACCAAGAGGGGGTTGTCATTAGGGTGAACAGGCCTCTTCCACCTCTGAGCCTGTGGGCTCCCACCCACTTTATCTTATTCAATTTCCTCCTGCTTTGAAGGACTGAGGAAGAGGAAGGCTCTTGGCACACCTGCTCCAACATGGCTCTTCCAGGTGTCAGGCAGGCTGTATCTTAGGCTGAGTAATATTTGGTGGCCTAAATACTAGGGTACAGACAATAATAGCCTGCTGAGCTGGGAAAGGGCCATGATGACTTGATGGCAGAGTGGACCAATGATCCACAAGTGGCCTTTAGCAATCGCCCTGGGCTCCTGCTCTGCATGGCTCTTGGATACCCCACAGCCCCAGAGCCAGGGAGGAGAGTGGGTGGGGAGTCACTGAGAGGCCTCAAACAGACCTCAGTTTCCAAGTAGGCCCCAGAGCTTCCCCATCTCTGGAGTGTGGAGGTCAGGCTGGGGATAATCTTTGTCACAACACCAGGTTTCTGCCCTTTCTCCTCCCTCCCTCCTCTGCCTCATGACCAGGGCCAAAGCTGCCAGGAGTTGCAGGGTAGAGGCAGCCCTAGGTCATACTTGGACCTCGGTGGCGTGGCTGGCCCAGGACTATCCATGCAGGGAGGCCTGCACCTCTGACAGTCGGCTACAGCTTGGAGTGCCCATCTTCTGTGCTTTGTGGTACATATCTGTGTCGCCAAAGTAGCGGGCCCGGTACAGCAAGCCTTCCTCTGCAAAGCAATGGGACAAGATTAGTGCACACCTAGTACCTCCAAAGCCAGCTAAGGAGCCTGCCTGGGCCTGTGGGGGAGGAGGAAGGCTACTCAGACCCTGGAGCTTGGGTAGAGTTGGCCTCCCACTAGGAAAGATGCAGAGGGAGCAAGGACCATGGTCCTTACGTAGGAGAGGGATAGTACCAGCCCCTTCCTCTTGAGTGTGGGTGAGGCCAGCCAAAGTGAGAACCTGTCATCCTGGTTAAACCTCGCCCAGGCCCCACAGATGGGTCTGGAGGCACACTCAGCGGGCAGCCAGGAGGTCTGCTCCAATCTGTCTCTGCATACTTACCTCTGGCAGGCAAAATGACAGGTTGATTGTGATTTACAGGAACCTGGAGGAAATCACCAGGTGGCCCCTGGCTCCCAGCCCCAGGGAAAATCAGGAGTGGAGTTCAGGTCTTTGCTGGGAAGAGGCTGGTACAGGGCAGTGCTGGGTGCCAGGCCCTCACAACACTGGGTGAGCAGGACTTTCTCCTTACTGCTCTCAAGCTTTGCCCCTGCTCCCCGGCCCCCCCCATCCACACACACTTGCGTGCTCTATTTCCCTCACTCACTCTGCTGCTTTTCCTTCCAGCAGTTGTTTCGGAGGTTGGCAATGTAATCATCTTCCACGTTCCGTTCAACTGTTTTTAGGCTGGAGCCTGTGTACTCCTCAGAGAAGCTGTCTGCCACGTAGTAGACGACACTCAGGTGGTCAGTGACTCGCCTGTGGACATGGCCCACTGACCTGGATAGAAATATGTGAGGTGAAAAGTGGGCATAGGCCCCCAGGCCTAGGGCAACTCTGAGGATAATGGGGTCCCATGAGGAGGTGACATACAGGCCACAGGTGTAGTTGGTTCCCTTCCAAACTAGAGTGAGAGCTTGCATACTGCCCAAAGCTAGGGTCTGAGGAAGAGGCAGTGTCTCCTACACAAGTGGCCCAGACTGGCAAGCCTTTCCCTTTAGGCTCTCTGCTTACCACATGGTTGGTCTGGGGCCTCGGGGTAAAGTACCTTTCTGAGGAGAGGCCCTGCTCTAGGAAGTTGGGGACCCAAGAGGAAAACTGGGCCCTACCTTCTGTGCCTCTATTTCCCTGTTCAGCCCCTAAGCCAATCACTGTTGAGGGCCTGCCTGCCTACCTAGGAGCTCCCAGTCTGGGGTCAAAAGGCTTGCGAACAGAATGACAAGGATTCTAAGGCATTATACCCTTCCAGCTGCAATCACAGGCTCTGCAGGCTGTACGAAGAGCCTCAACACCCAGATAGGAGTCAGTGCTTTGGGAGGACAGCTCCTGCCTTACACCAGTGCTACCTTTCATTTTCCCAGCTGCAGGAAAAATGACTGGCATCTGGCCAGATAGCAATGGCTGCTGCCAGGCCTGTGGGCCAACTCTGCCGCCTGCTGGCGGAGAAGGATCCTGTCACGCCTCCAGCCAGACACAGGCTGCTTGGTGGGTGTGAAGGCCTTCCACCACAGAAGCTGAGCACCTGCTATGTATCCAATACTGTGCCAGGTGCTAGAAATAAATGAGGGGCACCGACACATCAGAGGGTCACTTGACTTGCCCAAGTCCACTACTGGCAATCACAACCAAATATTCCTTCAACAAATGAGCCAGGCATTTTATGTGTTACTCATTAATTTTCACAAGAAGTTAGATGTTATTACTCCCATTTCACAGATGAGGAATCCAAGTTTATGTAACTTGAGTAGGGTCATGCAGCTTCTCAGTGGAGAAGGTGGGATTCAAAGCTGCCCTTGCTCTGCCTCCAGAACCCTTGCTCTTTGCTCTTTCAGTGGTCTCAAGGACCAACCAAAATAGAAGAGCAGAGGCTCTTATTTCAAGGTCAGCAGGTACAATGGGGTGGAGAGGGAGTCACAGTGCCTCTGGGATCACAAGCAAAGCTGTGTGTGTGCCCTGTTCCAGGGAAAAGTCTGTAGCTTTCACTATATTCTCTTAGGGTACAATGGTCCTGAAAAGCTTAAGAATTTTAGCTTGACAAAGAAAGTATATATTCTTTTCCTTTTTTTTCTTTTTTCTTTTTTTTTTTTT